AAGAGAGAGGAAAAATATATTTGTAAGCCATAAATATCAAAGTTTATATGCCTTTTTAACCTTTGAAACGTTTCCCACTCTTGTTTGACTGAGTGATATGTTCCTTAGTAAAATATTTTTTATTGTTCTTTCTGGTTTCCTACTTTCTCTTTTTATTATAAAACCTCATATTACTGCCTTCCACCATTTTCTGTTACATTCTGTTCCTGGTTCCATCTCCTCCTCCATTTCATTCCTCTTTAACACTCTGTCATTGTTTTTTAGATTATCATTTTTATGTATTTTGCTCTGAGATGTATTGATTTTCCTGTACGTTGGCTTTTGCTTTCAGGTTTCATAACATTGATTCTTTTCTTCTTCTTAATTCCCCCTGAGCTGCTACCTTTTGTCCAGGCTGTGGTTGCTACTGTGCACCTTGTCCTCTCTGGAAGCCCTGTTCCCAGTGCTTAGCATATCGTTGTTTTTTTAAGCTGTCACAGCCAACCTGGTTCCCTTTTGCTCCCATACAATGCTGTAGTAAATCCTTCCTTCCTTCCTTCCTTCCTTCCTTCCTTCCTTCCTTCCTTCCTTCTGGGAATGTTTGTAGGAGTGAAACATAGTGGGTAGAATTCAACACTGAACTCTTCTAACTGTTCCATCAGCTTGCCAGACAGAATAATCCCAAGCTGAAGGGCCGGTGAGGATGGGGTAAGCTCTGTTTCGCAAGCGGAGGTGTCTGTGCAGGGCTTTCACTTAACAGGGCTCATTAGGTGCATCCTACCCACAGCATTTTGCTGTTGCAGCATTTTTCTGCAACCTTCAGTGATGAGGGAATGGAAAGCTGATAATGCTTTTCTGCCCCATATGGACCAAGGCTCAAGCACTGCGTGATAGTGAAAAAGTGTGCATGCACACAGAAGCTCATATCAATAACAAACTTAGTTGGTCTCTAAGGTGCTACTGGTAGGAATTTTTTACATTAAACAGTAGTTCCGCATGGGAAAATCATGACTGGTGCTAGAAACCCCTTGAATAGTTTTTGAGTCACTGGAGAAAAGTATCACCTTATGCTACTTAAGGAATAATAACCACAAATCAGTGGTTTTCAGGAATTAACGACAGAGCTCTTGGTTGACAGTGAAGACACAGACCGTTTGTTCTAACAAACTGCTTGTTAACTGTTCTAGCAATAGATTGCGAACGCTTTATTGCTTAATATAAATTGCCTTTTCATTGAAAAAATGTTAAACTGAGCTGGGGGGGAATCATTTAGCTCTCAGTCATTAGCAACGTATTTTTCAAGGCCTTGACTATAGGGTACGCTCTGCTGCATTCATAATTATTACATGCAGCATTTCTTTTCATGCATTATGCATAAATATCAGAAAGTATTGCCCTCAAGTGACCTTTGAATGCAGAGGCAAAACTATAAGGCATTATTACCTCCTACCAGGAAGTTTATAAAGTTTCAAGAGTGTTTCTGTTTGACGCTTATTTGAATAAAAGCATCTTATTTTACCAAGTGGCTCTGAATTGTAATGATAAGGATAAAATTATATAGTACAAACTGGTGCTGCAACAAATAACTGCTGAACTCCATGTTTATAGCTTTAATGAAAAGGGACTGTTACATATTTAAATCGCAGTCTCTTTATTCCACAAGAGCCTCCATATTTTGATGCTGCTGGCTTGAGAGAAAATCGGCTCCAAGAAAGGGCACAGGTACATATTCACGTTCCAGCACTGGTATGATGAAGCCGTTAGCTGTATAAATCTGTTTATGACAACAGACTCAAGAAATCTATACACTTGGTTACTCAAGCATAGGTTGCCACTGGGACGAAATCTGTTCTCACTTACAGCATCAACATAATGGGAAGAATGTTGAATGTTTGATAAAATGGTCTACCAAATTCACTATAAAAGTGGCATACTTTTAGATCTAAAGACTTGGTGTGTGAAAAGACCAATAAAGATAACAAATAAATGTTGCCTACATGAAAATAAGTGTTTTATATGCAAGAAAATACAATGCCCATGTCAGCACAGGGATCGTTCAGCAGTGTAGTGGCTACATTTATTCATTCATTCATTGATTCAATTTATATACTGCACTATACCCACAGGTCTCAGGGCAGTTTACACCACTTTTAGACAGTGTTACTGAGCAATTTCTGTTCTACACCTTGACAGATGTTCTACATGGACTTCTGGATTATATTCTGCCATCCTCACTGTTGAATATTTATATGTGGGATGAGACTGTTAAATAGCCTGGCATGTGGTGGCATTAAAATTCACCCAACTGAATTTTTCACTCTCAGTGCTTCTAAAAACAACATTCTCAATAATGGGCTGGATGAAGGATATGCACCAGTTGTGGCCCACCTAATCTTACGGGTGTTGTTTGCCAGTTCTTAAATGGGGCCATAGTACTTCTGGCACAGTATATTTACAATCTGGGTGCACTCCATGAGAGAGGTTTGCTCCTGGATGCTAGATATGTGCTGTGCCTTCTGTCAGGAACATCTGAAATGCTGGTTACAAATTTTCATGAGGGTCTTTTTAAAAATTATTTTTTGAATTTATGCTTTCCACATGCCTCTAGGTCGATTGACATATAACTAAAAATAGCTTTAAGAACAGAACAAAAAGGATAATTATAAATAGACTAAAAAAAAAAAATCAAGGCAGTATAAACACCTAAGGTAGAGGCAGTTTCATCCAGCAGCAAAGACCTGTTGAAACGAAAATGTCTTGAATTGTTTCTGGAAAGTACAAATAGAGGACATGTGTCATATCTTAACAGGGATGCTGTTCCACGGAACTGGTCCCTACCACATGTTAGCACTGCAGACTACATGGCTTATACGTGTTGCTGTGCTTGAATTACAGGCAATTCACAACGTGGCTGCTGTTCTTTGGCTAGGGTGCCAGTAGACACAGGGAGAACATCATGCCCATGACCTTGATGTTGCATTGATTTCCAATCACTTTGCAGGCTGCTGCATATTGACCTCTCCATGTGACTACTTGATAATTTGAGGATCTAGTACCAAGTGATACTTTCCCCTATTCTTCGGGAGAGAAATTGTATGAACTGAGCAACTGCATGACTAGGCATTCATGAGTCACTCTCAAGAATATTTGCATGGTGAGAGGGAGGGGCTTGTCTCACTCCTTCAAAGTGCTATTTCAGCGCCAAAAAAACACACAATACAAATATGAGAGGTCCAATGATTATGTGTTTCCAGTATACATACCTGCTACCTTCTTTCAAAAGTGCAATGGCGATTCGGATTCGATTTCTCAGAAATATTAACATTAGTATAATGACAACTTCCACTATGCAAAGTAGTATCACTGAAAGCAAGAAAATTAAGTTTATCGACAGATATCAAACCAGGACATCACCGCTTTCAAGTAGCTGGTTTCAGTGCTGCACTTCACAAGTCCCCACATGTCTGAATGTGTACCCCTGTCCTGATTACATTTGTGTGTTGTGTTTAATTATACATATATAAGGTTCATACTTGATGAGCATTATAGTATATGAGTGTTTGTGAATGATTTGTCTTAAAGCAATAAAATGCTGTGCTTTGCTTCAAACGCTCAGTTCCATTTGAAGAAATATATATTTACGATTAGACAGTCATTATCCAGTGGTTGGCTTTTGCTGCTATTTTAGCATAGTATTTGGGAAAGATGAATGGAATTGATGTTTTAAAAGATGTGTCTGATCATGACCTCTATTATCCCAGTGTCACTCAAAAATACCGTATTTTTTGCTCTATAAGACGCACCAGACCATAAGACGCACCTAGTTTTTGGAGGAGGAAAACAAGAAAAAAAATATTCTGAATCTCAGAAGCCAGAACAAGAGGGATCACTGTGCAGCGATCCCTCTTGCTGTTCTGGCTTCTGGGATAGCTGCGCAGCCTGCATTCACTCCATAAGACGCACAAACATTTCCCCTTACTTTTTAGGAGGGAAAAAGTGAGTCTTATAGAGCAAAAAATACGGTAATTCCAAGATAATCAGGATCGTTATTTGAGCCTAAAAGCAGCCTGAGAACAGTGTAAAAACGGGAGTGGAGCTTGGAAATATGATTACATAACAAATAATTTTAAGGATGTTGTCACATAAAATTGTGTAGTAAATATCTGTTACTTGATGAACATTTTCAGGGACAGCTGTGTGGCAATTGACATTTACTCTAATACAGAATTTTTAAATATTTCTTAAACTGTAACCAAGCATTTAAGAACATTTTTAAACACTTTTAACAAATTACTAACGATTGTGTGTAAACTGTCACACAGTTATTGCAGTGACTGCGATGTATTATTTTGTATTACATTCTCCCACTTCCCCCAACTTTCATACTGTTTAGTGTGTATGTGCCAGTACTCCCAGTAAACTGAATAAACTGTGAGATTATTATACAAATTCCTCTCAGGTTGTTTACATACTCAGGCACGGGTTCACATTAGCTGCGCCCCACCCCCAATGTTACTCCTTGAAGAACAACCTTCAGTTTACTTGCCTTTTCCAAACCTGACACAGAAAGTATACTGCAATTTGCAATGAACAATTTCACATGGCAATGGATGGATGCTGGGCTGACACACAATGATTTGCATACCCTTCACCTTGGATAATCAAGTGCTGAACGGTGCCCAATGCATTTGAGAAACAGATCCACGAGAGCAGAAAGTGCAAAGGCAGAAAATTGCATGACGGGCCCAATAATCATGTGGAAAATATATTATGCAAATTAGCTCCTCGAGGCAACTTCCTCACTTGTTCCAGAAACAAACGCTCTCCAAGAATGTATGCTCACGTTTTAATTGAGAGCTGTATGATTTCAGGAGTTTCATGGCTAATGGCATTGTAACATTCTTGATTTTTTATGAAAACAAAAAGCAAGCATCTATGTTTCTGTAACTCTATGGGATACATTAAAGAGAGAAGCATCCCAGGCTATTCCTGAGGACTGCTCTCTCTCTCTCTCTCTCTCTATACACACACACACACACACACACACACACACAGAGTATATACTATATATACTGTATGTATACTCTCTCTCTCTCTATGTGTGTGTGTGTGTGTATATATATGCACATATATATACATATACACATATATGCGCTACGCATACATACATACATAGATAGATAGATATAAAATTGCTGATGATTTTGGAGTTAAAACCTTCCACATGGAGGAAGTGCACAACAAAATCTCTCTACACTGGCTAAAAAATGTTCAAAATGTTGCTAAGTTTAAAAGTCAAACATGAAATCTAAATTTAGTTCTGGTTTTAATTTCTAAAAGAGTTGCCAAAGTCAAGCTTGTTCAAAGGCCACTCCCTCATCTCCCCAATACCAGATATATGGAAGCAGATTGTGTCCAATTACTGGTGAAGAGAATATAATACACACATAAAGGTAAAGGGACCCCTGACCATTAGGTCCAGTCGTGACCGACTCTGGGGTTGCGGCGCTCATCTCACTTTATTGGCCGAGGGAGCCAGCGTACAGCTTCCGGGTCATGTGGCCAGCATGACTAAGCCGCTTCTGGCAAACCAGAGCAGCGCACGGAAACGCTGTTTAACTTCCCGCTGGGGCTGTACCTATTTATCTACTTGCACTTCGACGTGCTTTCAAACAGCTAGGTTGGCAGGAGCAGGGACCGAGCAACGGGAGCTCACCCTGTCGTGGGGATTCGAACCGCTGACCTTCTGATCAGCAAGTCCTAGGCTCTGTGGTTTAACCCACAGCGCCACCCGCATCCCTAATACACACATACCAAAGGGTTAAAATAATAATACTGCAGTGCAGTCTCGGCAGTAGAAACAGATTTCAGTCCCGGCTCTAATCTAGTCTGTGTTAATTCTCTTTTACAGATATTTCAAACATTATTACTTCCCTAGACAGGACGTTCTCTATGTTCAGTATATTGTGTGGTGCTGTTGCTTTGGTAAAAAGCTTCATAGATTGCTTTGCTTTGCTTTGTTGGTTATACTGCTGAAAATTAATATATTATAAAAGAGCAACTGGTAAATTATTGGAGAACTGAACACAAAAAAGGTATTGCCTTGCTCATCAATAATCTGTATAATATGTTCATCACACCTGACAGTAAATCCTCAGAATATAGACAACTGAAGACTCTCCCCATCCCTTTTTTAAATTATTTTGCTTATTTAGACTAGATTTTTCCAGTTCCCATCAGCCGCAGACAGCATAGCCAATGGTGAGGGATAATGGGCATTGCCCTGTGTTTGCTATTAATGGGAAGCTACTATTTGCTGCACGTGTCCATGCAAACGTGAAATCATCACATCTAACCAATGAATACCTGAATTTTTCTCGTGTATATGCGCAGAAGTGCTTTCTTTGCAAGAAGCTCTTAACATTTGGCCTCCAGTCAGTAGCTTGAGCACTAGAAAGCTTCTTAAGGCAAGAGCTCTATGAAACAATGCTGATGTCATGCGCTTTAGTGCCCATCACAACAACAGCAAAATCCTGTTTAATTAGATGAATGTAAAGTGGGTGTCAAAATACAGACTTCTCTTTAAATCCACTTACTAAATGCTAACCATGTTTGCCTCAGTTGCAGATACACCCTGAAGTCCGTCTGGAATCCAATGTCGTAGATAGTAAGATCAGAGCCAGGTATTCCATGAAGGCGATGATATTCCCAGTAGCAATGCCAAATACCTTTTGAAACAAAGAAAACGCGCTGGAAGAGTGACACAGATCAATTCCCTAATCTCTGCACAAATGGTAGGTCCCACCAAATCCCACCCCCGCAATGGAATCCAAACCACAGGCAGAGAACTGCCTATTTGCAGAAAGGTGCTAGAAGTAGCTCCATAATAGGCAGGAACAAGAGCCAAAACATAAATCATAAAGGAAAGCAAAACGAAATAAAACTATATAATATCACTAGCTAATTTCTTCAGGGGGCAATTTGTTTCCCACTCCCAAATATACTGAGCAGCCGGAACAAGAGCACCAAGTCATTCACTGGAGGCCTCCAGAGGAAATTTTTGGCAGGGTGTAGTTTCAAACCATTTCAAACAAATAATTTCCTACACTGTCTGGAAAAAGCATAAAATTAACAAATGGATATTCATCTGTGATGACTGTGCCTTTAACTCTTTCCCTGTTTATACCCAGCCAGGGAACTTGGGGCTCTCCAGATATCATTGGACTACAATTCCCATCATCCCTGAACATTGGCCATGCTGGATGGGGTTGATGGGAAATGGAGTCCAGCAACACCTGGAGCCAGCAGCATAGCATAGTTTGCCAGTGCCCTGTGTGGGCAGGTGGGCATGTGCCGAGGGTGAACGAAGCCCACTGCGCCAGCCCAGCACTTGCCACCAATGCTGCCAGAGTGATGCAAGCCCCGAACCACTTGGTGACCCTTGCAAAGCGGCTCAGGGCTGGCAGGGCAGCATGAGAAGAACACATGGCTGCTGCATCCCTCTCACTCTGCTCTGCCAGACCTAAGCTGCTTTGTGATACTAGGATCATCCCAGCCTCACAAAGCGGCTCAGGGCTGGCAGGAGTGCATAAGCAGCACCCCCCAGAAAAATGTGCCTGGGGCCATTGCCCCAGCAGCTTCCTCCCATACTATGCCCCTGTCTGGAGCACCATTCCTGCACAAATCAGTAAGCCACAGCCAATTGCATCTTCACAACACACATATACGGAGACAGCTATCCTTATATTAAAAACCCTCATTATGCCTGAAGCGGCCAGAAGTCTCTTTGAAGACCCTGTACCGACAAATAAACCTTGTTTTGTATTTCAGGTTTTAGTAGGACACAGAGTGGAGAAAGGATGATGAACCTTCCAACTTATAAAACCACAGGAAGAAAAGAGAAAATGTTTGTTTAATCCTGCAGCCACTGACAATTCCTAACAAAAGCCAGATGGTGATGTTAGTCTTCTAGACATAGAAAAGAGCCGCAGCTGCACAGTGGGTAGAATATGGCAAGCTTTTGCATGGTTCTTCTTTTTGGCACATTAAACTGCCAGAAAATATACTGCTGTCCTGCTGAGGGAAGAAAAACACAAACATGCCTCACAAGCAGGCACACACCTCAGCTGAACGAGGTCCAGCCCGCAGTGTATGGACTTTGAAAAGACTTGTTTGGGCTGCTGGGTGAAGAAGAGGAATGGACTGAAGGAGGGTTTTTTTATAAGTGCAGTGCTCAGCGGGGAATTGCTAAGTAGCAAGTAGACTATTGAGGACAGAGGGTGATAAGTAAGTGGTACCTCTAGTTGTGACTTAATCCGTTTTAGGATGCCATTCGCACCCCGAAAAGTCCACAACTAGAGCGCCTCTTCTGCGCATATGCGCAGTGCGATCGAGCGCTTCTGCACATGCACAAAGCACGCAGATTGCTTTTGCGCATGCATGAAGAGCACAGATCGCTTCTGCACATGCATGCGTGGGGAACCGTGTTTGTAAGCTGAAAGTCCTTAACAAGAGCGGAACGCAACTAGAGGTACCACTGTTTAGGCAGACAATTCCCAGTTGGTAGGAGTCATTTTTCCTCTAACCCCAACCTATAAACTTTGGATATGTAGTTCTGTGTCAAAAGCAAATCATTGGCACCTACCATAACCTATAATCCCAATCACACCAAAGATGAAAATCCAGAAGAGAACACCTGCTATGAATCTCAAAAGCACAAGGAAGAGCAAGCTGACAACCATTGCAATGAACAGGCCTCTGGAAAAGAAAGACATAGCAATTTAAATAAATCAGCAGCTAGGTATCTGTCCTCTCTTCAATGCTCCCCCCACTGCATTTACTTTACAAACAATAAGGCTTTCTGAAATGAGTGCTTTCCCTATCCAGGTTTGATGCTCAGTGTTTTAAATACATGGAAGCATAGGCGCCATCTCCTCGGAGGCTCTGGGTGCCCGAGCACCACCCTAAATTTCCATATAGGGGCCGGGCAAAATGCAGGGGAGGGATTGGGCAAAACCCATAAAATGCAGGGGCGGGATTGCAGGCACCACACCCCGTGGAAAGAGCGTGGTGTTCAGGCGGGGGGTGATGGTGGAAGAGAGTGCAGAGAGTTGATGGGGAAGAGAGAGCACAGAGTTCAGGTGGGAGGGGTCCAGTCACTGCCGGGTTGCTGGAGCTCATGCCCCACCCCATGGTATGATGTCATGATGCCACAGCATGCGTCATGATGATGATGATGATGATGATAATAATTATTTATACCCTGCCCACCTGGGTATAAGCACATTAAAACATCAGTCATTTAAAACTTCCCTAAAAAGGGCTGCCTTCAGGTGTCTTCTAAACATCAGATAGTTGTTTATCTCCTTGACATCTGATGGGAGGGCGTTCCACAGGGCAGGAGCCACTACCAAGAAGGCCCTCTGCCTGGTTCACTGTAACTTCGCTTCTTGCAGTGTGGGAACTGCCGGAAGGCCCTCAGAGCTGAACCTCAGTGTCTGGGTTGAACGATGGGGGTGGAGATGCTTCAGGTATACTGGGCACGGTGTGGGCGGGGCATGCTGGGCACCCACAGTGTGGGGCCCAAGTTGATGCCATTATGTGGCAGGATGGCAATAGGACTACGGCTAGAGTTTTCTGATGTGTAGATAGCATTGTCAAACTGTAGGTTAGAACCCAGGTTCTGGGCTGCCAGATTTTGACAAAGAAATTGAATTCAGCCCTTTAAAGTGTGGTCAAGGGAAGCCTTGTTTATGAGTGGTAGGTATACACCCCTCCCGAATATGATACCATGGGGCTCCACCCGCTTCCTCATGGTTTAGGTACCATTGTGGAAGGACCACAAGGGACTGATATTCCTGCACAAGTGACAGGAAAGAGCCATAACGAAATCCCAAGATGCACTGATGTGGTAAATGGAAGTGCCAGAGGTGACTCCCCCACCCCCGCTTTTTGTGTGCCTTGCAGCACCCCAATTTCACATGCAAGAAGCAAGGCCTCCTCTGAATAAAAACTTACATTAAAATCCAATACCAAGAACTGGCATAGTCTTCAAAAATTTTCATCCCGACTGATCTTGCATCAAGAACATTATTGATGCCGCTTTAGAAAGAAAGGGGGGGAACATT